TGAGAAGTTTCAGAGCAGGAGTCCCCAAACTATGGCCCGCGGGCCGGACCCAGCCCATCGAGGCCTTCTTACCGGCCCGCAGCCAGTCCTGCCACTGCCGTGCCGCCACCGCCGCCACTTGCGCCCACCGCCAGCCGCAATTTTGTCTTCCAAAATGGTGTTCAAAGTCATGTGCATGCGCGTGCCTCCAGCCCCCCGGAAGATCTGGGGGCCAGCAAACCGGCCCCCAGATCAAAAAATCCGGGGACCCCTGTTTTAGAGGGTTTCAAATGCTTAACTTTTAATCCTTGTGCATTCAACCATGTTAATGAGGGATGAAGGTTGCCATCATTGTTTCTATAATAGTTATATTGCAGGCAGATACAATATGATCATCTCTGGAGGTTGAGAATTTTATTAAATTTATAAATTCCCCAAATCTTCAAATTTCTTTAGATTTTAAAATTGTGAATGTAGGAGCAAGAAAAACTGACAGATTTGTCCATCAATGCAATAGGGGGTGGGAGACACCAAGACCAGAATATATTAAAAGACCTTTACACTGAGTATACACTGAAAATATACCATCTGAGAGAGAGAGAGAGAGAGAGAGAGAGCAGAAATGTTACCCTACAATGAATACTGCGAGATGGTCACTTATATCCTTTGCAATAGACACTACAGATGAACTTAAATTACTTGGCCACACATGCCAACACAAGAAATTGAAAAGGTCAGAAGTGCATTCAAATCCTGTGGCTCAGGAAAGATGTTCTCCTAATTAAACCAGCCACCATGCAAAGAATGCATTTAACTCAGCTGAGCCCGGGGGTCAAGTTGTTTTAGTTCTCTAAAGGACTGTATTGCAAACAGACAATGCTTTGTATGAGCCATTTAATTAGGTGCTCACAAATCACTGGCAAACTCCAGAGTTCAGGGAAAGTTACAGTGGCTCCAAGTCAAAATTTATTATGATTGGGACCAGATCCAATAAGTCACAGTCTGTTCTAAGTGAGAATCCTCTCTGGTCTCACGGATGGGAGTTAAGTCTTTATACTGGAGATAGTGGCCAGAATCCTACTGGTTATCTTTTTGTCATCTGAAGTGCTTTGTTGGGTAGCCAGTATCTCCTTGCTCAATGTCTTTGCAATGGATGCCAAAGGGCCTCCATACACTGTCCTTAGGTACAGATCTACCCTGGCCACTTATTTACTGTGGGAATGTGCTTGGACACTGTCAGCTACCCATGTGCACCTGGGAAAGAAGGAGTAGCCTTTGCCCCCAGACTGGTGCCCAAATTGCCCTGCAGATATTTGGACTCCACCAGTGCTCCAATGAGATCTTGGCCTTATTTGCTTTACTTGCTGGAGCTATTAAAAATATGAAGTCAGCCACATAAACATAGCTCAGAAAAAGTTTCTGTTTGGATTCCATTCCCAGAATCCCTTAGCCAATATGGTCAGACAGCTTTGCTTAAGTAGGAACATAGGATGGGCTGACTATGGGTTGGCTTTCTATGCTAGATCACCCTCGCTCTTGATAGGGCAATGGTAACAGGGAACATAGCTACATTATTGCCCTGTTTCAGATAGTGTACCTCTTTCTCACATTACTGGAAGAGCAAAAAAAACCTCCTGTGACAACTGTTATCAGGAGTAAGCAAAGCATTACCAGAGCATAGAAAAGGTCCAAGGTTGGAAAAGTTGCTTTGGGGCAGCTATGCAAATTCCACAGACAGAGTATGCAGCTATTGGTCAAAAAGCAACTTTTCCAAGCTCTGACTCCTGCCCTTCATGAAAAAAAGATCCATTCAAGTGAACAGTTCAAATCTCCAGCAAGAGTGATCTGCCCTTGCCTTATCAATCTGCTGGATGGGAATGGGGCAAGGGTAGGGGCAGGGGAAGAAAAGAAAAGTAGGAGAGGGGTGAGGGGGGGTGAGAGGGGTGGCCCCACTCATTTGTAGTTCTGCCCCATCTACCACTGGGCTTGTCTGTCTATTAATACCATGGACCTTACCATATTACTGTTAAACTTCAGGAATAAGGCATTTTACAGAAAAGAGATTCCCTATGTAAGCATTTGCCATTGTTTCTCCCCTTTACACATATGTTACAGTAGTCCATCTGTCTTACTTTATAGAACTCAGGTAGATTTTAAGGCATCTTCTGTTTGAGGGCTTTTGTCCAGTCCAAATCCAGTTTAAAGAAAAGAACCATTAGAAGGAAATACAAGCGTCCTGAAGAACCTGCCCACCAACATTTAGCTCTTGGGCAACAGACTGAGCCAGCACATACATTACTCAGAATACTATTGTGTTCAAAATAATGCAACTTATCTCCAACACTCCCGTTTTTGAAAAGTGGCCAGTTAAGCTTGGCTGGGGTCTGGACTGCATGCAGGTTGCAGTTGCCCAGTCTCAACTGTGTGCGATAGCATCCGCTATTAAATTGAAACCCATCAGGCATAAGTCATATTATTTTGAATATGATAATCTCTTAAATCATGATCTTCCTCATTATGGTGGGATGTGTTATATTTCTATTTTGGTTATAACCATTCTTTTTCAATGTGGACCAATTAGCATCTGCAAATTTTATGAAATTTTATGAAATATAATTCTATGATTCTATGATTCTATGAAAATACGAGCTCTCCTTTGATCAAACATGTCTTTGCTCACTCTCCTCTCTCGCTCTCTCTGTTTCTCTTTCTCTTACTCCTACTTATGGCCTTCTTAGGGAATGCTCCCAATGAACACACAAGAATTTTATTCCAAGAAAACCTATATGGAAATGAAAAGTGGGGCAGGGGGAAGAAAGAGGGGGAAAGGTGCCTTGAGGCTAGTTTCTTTTATTATCTGTTCCAAACCAAACTTTACTGCATTGAATTGAATCACCATATTATATCAACTGTTAAAATACAAGCAAGTTAACCTCTATTATTACTAAATACTTTGAAAATCTTTCTGGAAGGGAAAGGTAAAAGACCATTCACAGTGCTATGATTCCACTTTAATTTCCAGGGTTCTTTCCTATGGAATCCTGGGATTTGCAGTTTAAGGAAGGGGGATTTGGAATTCTCAGTGAGAGCCCTCCAGTGCCTCCCCAAACTATAAATTCCAAGGTTTCATAGGATGGAAGCATGGCAGTGAAAAGTGGAATTATAGTGCTTTATTTGTAAAGTGAATGGGCCCCTGCTTGAGCTTTTGAATCATAAAGCACTTCAGTACTCCACATACTGTCTAATGCTAAAATTGAATAGAGCAGCATTCTTTGTTGTTACTGTGTGCCTTCAAGTTGCTTCTGATCTATGGTGATCTGTGTGCCTTCAAGTTGTTTCTGATCTATCATGGAGTTTTCTTGACCAGATTTGTTCAGAGGAGGTTTGCCATTGCCTTCCCCTAAGGCTGAGAGCATGTGACTTGCCCAAGGTCACCCAGTGAAATTAAAGCATTTCTCAGGTGTTACAGTCAACTTATGCTTTTTAAGGGTAGGCAGAATTTATAGGAAATGCCAGCATCCCTCTAATACTGAAAGTAGCTTCTCCACATGTTTTTCCATTTTTAAAAAAAAATGGGTTGTGGTTTGTAAAAGTGATCCTATGATTTGAAAGGCAAATTTGCTTTTTATCTGTTTGTGTGTTTGTTTTTAAAAAAGATTGTTTTTTGACTTAACAGACTAAAAGTGCAAAAGTACCATTTCACTTAATTTTAAAGGAGGAAAAGGAAACATGTGTCAGAATGATGAATTTAAAACAAACACAAAGGTGAGAATAAAATGTTGCAGGTGGAACTGGGAATTGTCAGAAGATAATCCAAGATAACAATAATATAGTTTGAATATGAAAGGGGAAAAAAAGTTAGAGGACTATAGCATCACCCTCCTGACTTGTTTGCCCCATATTAACAGCTTCATTCACATGCTTCACAACAAACACTTCCACAGATTTTTCAGTGAATGGCAAAGGAGGAGGAGGAGGAGGAGGAGGCTGGAAAGGCAAGCCGAAGCAAGGGAGGGATTGGGATGGCTCACCCTCCCTTT